AGAAGTTGTATTGACCTGCGTTGCCTTGAAAACACGGTCAAGTTGCAAAGACGAGGTCAAACCACCTATATACAGTGAGAGGAGGCTGCGACTAATATGGAGGCCACATCAGCTTTGCCTTGATATCTGCATTTATTTATAAAGTTCTAATCAACCCGTACTTTTGGCTTGTCTAAAAGTTACCTCGCCAAATCCGGCAGTGCCGGCGAAGGAGAGGATGTATGATCGACTCCGGTTGTACCATCTTGCCGGGTGGACAGAGGTAGAGATGCTGGCCTTGAGCAGAACTACTGCGCCAAGCCCGAATCGCGATTAATAATGATGAAGCTTGTGATGAGTTTGTTAAAGTTAATGCTCCATGCTGATGGGGCCAGTTTAGTGAGTCCGAAGAGACCTCAGAAATCGACTCATCAGCATAAAGGCCAATCAGAGCTTGACAGAAGAGAGGACGTAGGCAAGGTACTCGGTCAATGAGAGTTCGAAGCCAGTGAAGACAGTGTATGAAGAAAGTTTCCATAATATAAATGCTGAGATGAACGCTAGTACAGTTAAGCGAGCGAGTCGATAAACTATTAGAGGTTCGCTAAATAAGTAAGTGGATGGAGTAAATGCAGAAACGGAAGAAAAAAAATTCCCCATAAAAATGTATTTTAAAATGCGGTTTAACTAATGAAAATTCTAAAATAGTTAGAAATATCAGCAAAATTATTGTATAAACAATGAGCGATTTCTTAATAGATTCTAAAATACACAGAATTGAAAGTCTTTTACCAAGTGATTAGCTTCAAAGATGCTCCTAAATTGGTAGTGAAGCCCTTTTAGCTAACAAATCTTTGCTGAAAAATAAGAACCAGTAACTATCACAGATTTGTGGGATACATAAGGACAGACATTTATTTGCTCGTTTATGCCTTAGAAATAAAATTTAGTTAGTATTTTTCAATATAGCTAATTTGACTATAACTCTGTCATATCATATAGATATAAATGATCAAAAAGTAATCAGAATCCCTAGTTAGCATTGAGTATGAAGTATTTTAAGTGAGGTCCGTACAGTAACGTCAGAATTTTTCGTGTGGGTTTAAAGAAATATCTGAAAATCTAGGTTTTACAAATGCAATTAGAGCGGAAACATGCTTTACTGGAGGGATTTTAGATTTCCGAATATATATACGAAGCCAATAAAAAACCACCATCTA